CAACTAGGGTACTTGTGGCAACTTAATGTTCAGACTCATTAGACTGTAAACAAAAAGGTACCTGCAGTATCCCATGGTTGTTGGGAATACCGTACACTATATTAAACAAGTTGGAATACAGGTTGTGAAGAGGTATCATGACATGGGTAGGTCTCCAAACTAGGGTGTCTCTGAGGGTCCCTATCCTTAGAGAATGCTCCATACATAGCCTCGGAGCCAGACGAAGCAACAGAAGCGATTCCCCAGTGTTCCGAATTATATCTAGGCAAAAGTGAAAAAATACCCCGAAGCCGTTGTTGTTTCATCACTAAGGCCACAAAATTAGACCGCCAAGTTTAGCTGAAGGCATGGAAAAGAAGGGAAACGACTTGAAATCGGCGTCACAGAGACCATCTTGCAAGGAGGAGCCCGTAGACAAACTCTAAGCCCTAAGCCATTCACCCTAAACAATACACCCTAAACCCTAAACCCTGAACCCTAAACACCCTAAACCGAGTTGTCCTTTAAGCCGTTTGAAAATTATTTACTATTATGGTTCTCTACAAAATAGTAGGGCAAATTAAAAAGGATCCCAAAGGACAACCCAGTAAACCCTAAACCATACACCCTAAACCCCGAAGAGCAGAAGCTGGTATCCTGAGTTCTGGCCGGGCGTCTGCCTTTGAAGCCCCAAACCCGAAAAGCACTAAATCCGAAAAAAACCTACTTGGAGGATCATGGGACTTAGTAACTAGGGTTCCTGTAAGGGCCCCTTTAAGAGGAGATCTATAGGGTTTAGGGTTTAGGGTCTACTTAAAGGATCATGGGACTTAGTAAGTAAGGTTATAAGTACCCTAATTGGGGTTACAAGTATAGTTACCCTAGTTATAACCCTAGTTTGTAAGTCCCATGATCCTTTAAGTAGACCCCATAAGCCCTAAACCCCAAACTGGCCGTAGGACGCTAAACCCGAAACTCTACCCCAAGATCCCAATACCCCTGAAATTAAGGAATAAGTATACCTTAAGTCATAGGGGCCTTAAAACTGTGGTTTAAGGTATATTCCTGATTTAAGTGGTATTGGGATCTCTGGGTAAGAAGTTTGAACCCAAACCGGCATCCCTTATGGGACGCGGTTCCAGGGAGGGTAGATAACCGACTAATCCCTATAAGGTTCCCTTAAGATTCCCTACTTGGAGGGTCGGGGGACTCAGTAACTGGCTGTTTTAGGGACTTATAACTACCATAACCCCAATTAGGGTCCCTTTTAGGGTCCTTATAAGTCTACTTACTACCTACTTACTAAGTCCCTGAACCCTAAACCCTATACTACCCTTATAGAGCCCTTTAAAGGAACCCTTAGAATCCCCTTTAAAGGCCCTTACTAAGTCCCCCGACCCTCCAAGTAAGGATCCCAGTGCACCCACCCTCCCTTTAGGACTCTGTCTCCTCAGGTACGGGCATTCTTTTGCAGCCACCGCGACCACACCTTTTCTTGGCCAAGGGTTTAGGGTTTAGGGTTTAGGATGTAGGGTGTAGGGTTTGGGGTTTAGGGTTTGGGGTTTAGGGTTTAGGGTAGTTCAGGGTGGCTCTCATGAGGTGTAGGCCGCACTGAGCAAGTAGGTTTCGCAGGAAGCTAGCGGCAGCCATGGCCATAACCACCTTTATCCTCGATCAACATAGTTACACTGCCCTTTAACCTCGGGTAACGTCATATATAGGGGCCTTAATAATTAGAATAGAGTTTCGGGGCCCAGTCTACTACAATGATAATAAGGAACCCCCACAATAATATGGGCAGTTATGTAGGCCCCTAAATTACTTACAACCTGCAAATGAACCTTGATCCTCCAAGTAGGGCTGAGAATTGAGGGGTGGTTCGGAAAGCGCAAGAGAATCCGAGTAAGATCCACAAAACAGATCGGGCTAAACCCTAAACCCCTACAGTAGAAGCCAGAAAGTTGGAATATCATTATCGTAACCCCTTTAAGGTAAATTATAGGGGATCCTACCATTAATCCATATTCCAACTTTCTGGAGTTCCCTTTAAACCCTGGATTTCGAAGGTTACTCACTGGCCCACCCTGAAACAAGACCAACAACCGAACCTCAAATCCCTGAAATGCCCTCAAACCCTGAAAGCCCAGAATCCCTAAAGCCCCAAACCCGTGTGAGGAGCTTTGGGTCAGGGTGTCTCAGGGTATCTGGGGTACGAGTTGGGCTTAATGTAGGGTTTAGGGGCTCAGGGTTTGGGGTTCAAGGCTTTAGGGTTCAAGGTTTAGGGTTGAGGGGTTTAGCGGTTTAGGGGTTTAGAGTTCAGGGGTTCAGGGGTTCAGGGTTTAGGATTTAGGGTTCAGGGTTCAGGGTTCAGGGGTTCAGGGTTCAGGGTTTAGGGCTTTAGGGTTTGGGGTCTCGGTGCTTCAGCTGTGTGCAGAGCAGACGTTTCTGGGCATGGTAAGCCTTTAGGAGGTGAGGGCCGGGATACGTTGATTTCGCGGTTCGTCGTGTGCAAGCCTTAACCATAGCAAAGCCTGGATCACGAGAACAGGGTATTGGAGTATATGGGAGTTTCCGAAAAATAGAGGACCCTAAAACAGTACTCCTAAATAGCTGGATTCTTATCATCAAGACCCCAAAATAAGGTACTCCCTATTTGCAGAAACCCCTAAATCATGTTTTGCTAGAGGGGGGGTGGTCAACAAGCCCAACATTGGCCTGTCAAAGGGGCTACTACATGAACTGAGAATCTTCCACATAGCCTATCCCCTGAACCCCTTAACTCCTAAACCCTAAACCCCTAAACCCTGCACCTGTAAACCTGGACCCCTAAACCCCAAACTCCTAAATAAACCCTAAACCCCGCCCCTGAACCCATATCCTAAACTCTAAGCCCTAAACCCAACCCCTGAACCCGAAGCCCCGTGGAACTGAGAATCGTCCACACAGCCCCCGACTCCACTACATATGTCTGCTGCGGCATCGCTACACCCTCAATGGTTTAGGGATTTGGCTTTAGGGTTTAAGCCCACACATCCAATTTTCGAAGGCGAAATCCTAGCTTAGGGTGTTGGGGTTTGGGGTTGAGGGTGTGGGGCTTAACATACGAAATCTCGAAACCTAAAGCCCACCTCGTGCACTGCTTTCGTGGGATGATTGACGACGGCGAAGCCCCTGCGCGGGACGTGTTTCCAAGCTTCCTACGAAAACAAGCGCTCAACTTGGCTAGCAGGTTGTATCTGGGGTTAGAAAAGCAACCTCATGGAGACTATTGCTTGCAAGCCTAGTTATAACTTATGCAGTCCCTTTCCTATACCCACCGTCGTGTTTCCGAAACGCAAAGCTTACCGTGGATCTGCCGAGCCAACACTCCTGAGAACACAAACCATAGGCCCGAAACCCTGTTCGGTGTTTTTCCCGGCCATAAAGCAACAAGCTCGTAGAACCACGAAACCCTAAACCCCAGACTATAAACCCCTAGACCCTGAAACCCTAAACCCTGTGTTGAGCCGAGTGCAAAAATACCAGCCCCCTTCCCGGAGAAAATCAGTCCCAAGCATTCATTCTAACGACACACACACACACACACACACCCGTGCGCACACACACACACACACGTAAGTCCTTAAAATCCCGTAGCCGTGTTATCCGAAAAATCCTAGCGCTCGAAACTTCCAGAACGGTTGAGGCTTTGAGTCTAGGGTTTAGGATTCAGAAACCCCAAAACACCTCAATGCCCTAGACCGGTGGCCTTGAAGCATCCAGGGCGATGATCAAGCCGAGGCAAAACCCAACCGTTGCGAGTCCCCACCGCTGGGCCATGGCTGCTTGGAGGAGCGGCGGACTTAGGTAAGGCAATGAGGTGTCCGAGTGTTGTATTAAGCTCTATGAGGGTTCTCATCAAGGTTTATGCGGTTTATTCAGGTTTTGGGTCAGGGGACCTGGTGACTAAGAGTACAAGTGCCGTGATTGGAATTATATGTGGTTGTACCTGAGGTTGTCTAAATTGTGACGCCGCTTACCACACCCCCTGATGTATTGAGCAGTGTTTCCGGATTTGTAGGTTTCGGGTTGAAGGGTTTAGGGTTTAGGGGTTCACTGGTTTAGGGCTTTGGGCTTTGGGGGTTTAGGGTAAAGGGGGGGGGGGGTTGTCGGGTTTGGGGTTTGGTGTTCAGGGCCTCAGGGTTTCGGGTTCATGGTTTCCCGGAAGAGCGACCCAGGGTTCCGGGTTTAGGTGGATTGGTAGGCTGTAGTAGGTCCAAGAGGTGGGGCTTGGGGTGACGGCGGCAGCGGTTGCATGCATTTGGTTTATAACTTTGGAGTTGCATTGCCCCTTCCAAAACGACAGCATCCAGAATACATGCTCACCAGTATTCCAAGGGAGCCGTAGATGCTCTCACCAAAATCTGTAATACCTCAAACCTTCTCCATGCGAGGCTTGTGCACGCAGTTGGCCCGCTTCGCTGTCAACACGACGTAAACCCCCAGAACCGAAAAAAAGAGGCTGGTGTTTCGGGCTTGCTTGACGGTTTAGGGCTTCAATCTACCCAATACGACTGTATTTGGGCTTAAGACAGCTGCAAGGAGAAATTTCGGAAAGCTTATGTTCATTACAATCTTGGATCCTTGGGGCAACGTGCTTCTTTGCATAGAGTCCTGGCAGAAACAAAAGGCACAACACATTCAGGGTCGCACAAGGTAAACCCAAAAGCACGAAAACAATAGACCCTAGACCATTAAGTTAACCCTAAACCGTGAAGCCTCAATGCCTCGAGCCTGCACTCTCGTCCTCAAGTATTCCCCTGTAGTAGAAACACTGGTCTTGAAATCAGCAATGGCAAAAGCAGTCAAGTTGCCTCTTGCCTACCGAAACCTCTTAATTGAAGCTTCCACACGAGCACGACCCAAACCCCTAAACACTGAACCCGAAACACTCTCCCCATAAACCCCAAACCCCGAACCCTAAACCTTCTCCCCATACACCCCAAACCCTGAACCCTAAACCGCAAGCCATAAAGCCTTGCCTCATCCCGGCTTTCCAGTCCCTTCACGATGGTCTTGATGACCTCCCAAGACAGGCAACATAGTCGCCTCGATAGTTTTGATAGGCTTCCTTTTAACGGGTTCTGTAAGGGTTCAGAGAAGGATTGCTTTCAGAGCTTAGAATGCGGGCCTTAAGAGTTACAATAGGATTTTGGGGCAGATTGTAGTATAGCTTTATTAGGACAATAAGGAGCCACTATTTGTTTATTATTCCGACTCCTGCAGCACTCTCTTGCCGAATACCTCGAATTGCCCGAAGTACGTACTACCTACTTATAGACTCTAACTGGCTCTCTGACTAGGTATCATGTGCATACCCTGAGTCGTCTTAGTGTTTTCGTCATTGAACCCTAAACCCTGAACCCTTGACACGTCAAGAGTAAACCGCAAAACTCTCAATTCCCCCAAAACCCCCAAACTGTGATATAAAACCTTAAACCCTGAACCCCTAAAACTCCCTCAAAGGAACCCTTAAAGGTAAAGGTACTTAAAGGATCATGGGACTTAGTCAGTAAGGTTATAAGTACCTTAAACAGGGTTATAAGTAGCTTATAAGTATAGTTACCCTAATTATAACCCTACTGACTCCCCTGATCCTTTAAGTAACCTGATATTATATAAAACCTTAAACCCTGAACCCCCATAAACCCCCTCAAAGGAACCCTTATGAAGGTAAAGGCAACCTTTAAAGGTAACTTCAGAGGCTTCGGCTCCGCCGGCCCTGCCCTTACACGGTTTAGGGTTGAGGGTTTAGGGTTTAGGGTTTAGGGTTTAGGGTTTAGGGTTGGGTCTGGGTTGTTGCCGGGTCTCAACAAAGGTACGCTTGATGATATAAACCCTGCATGACCCATAATAACATAATTCACATAGTTTAGGGTCCTTAAGGTAATGCAGGATTTATATCATCAACCGTATTTCAGCATGAGGGTTTCGGGGTTTAGGGTTTTAGGGTTTAGGCCAGGGTTTAGGGTTCAAGTTCGTTGTGGGGGGGTTAGTATCACGGCAGTGAGGAAAACTATGACTAAAAACGTAATGATAATTATGGCATAAGCATCTTCAGGAATCCGAGATTGCTTGGCGATTTTTCACCTAAACTCTGAACACTAACCCTCAGCCCAAAAGCCCTGAGGCTTGAACCCCTAAACCTTGGACCCCTGGCCCCCTGAACCCTGCAAAAGCGCTCATTGCGGTGACTCGGCAGTCCATTCGGGTCCTGGGAGTCCCCAATACTTGGAGGATCATGGGACTTAGTAAGTAAGGTTATAAGTACCCTAAGTGGGGTTATAGTTATTATAGTATAGTTACCCTAATTATAACCCTAGTTACTACGTCCCATGATCCTTTAAGTACTTACCCGATGGCCAGCGCACTGGTCAGGCTCAGCTTCCAGTCGCGACACGCCGCTCCACTCGTTATTGATGCCGCACCACCGCTCTTCCGGGATGCTGTCACCAGTTCTTCGTCCGCGCCCTGAACCGTACCCCAAACCCCCCGAATCCTAAACCACAAACCCTAGCTAAAATCCCTAAACCTGGTCCGGGATTACGATCTTGCCAAAACAGTATATACATGAATACACACCTGCCTGCACACGCACACATGCATGTGTATACACACATATATGCATGTGTATGTGCGTATGTACGTATGTACGTATGTACGTCCGTGCATACGTACATAGGTACATACATACAAATGAGAAGTATGCACCTATGTATGGATTTATGTGGGTGTACATATACACACATTTACTCATTCTCCGTGTCTGTTTATGCATGCATGCATGCATGCATGCATGTATATATGTAGGCATGTATGTACGACTATGTATGTAAATGCGTTCGTGTGTGTGTATGTATGTATGTATGCATGTATCTATGTATGCACACAAAAACACCCAAATAAGGAAAACAGCAGCAAACGGCGCCACAAGATCTCTAACTGCGTTTAGGGGTTAGGGTTCAGGGTTTAAAGTTTAGGCTGTAGGTTTTAGGGTGTACGGATTGGGGTTATCATCCCAATCTGCAACCCCGACCGCACACCTACTTACCAAGCCCCCTTACCTCAAATGCGCTCAACAGAGGACCCCTCCTTCGGATCGTTCCGCTCAGCCATGGCGTGATTGTCTAGTCTGCAAGGGCTTGAAGGTGTTGGGCTGTGAAAGCTGAGAAGTTTGGGGCGAACTGTGTCGTAATGCCGGGTGCGGCTGACGGGTTCTGGGTTTTAGAGGTAACGTTTCAGAGTTTCGGGTTTAGTGTTGAAGGTTGTGTGTGAACGCTGCTGTGCGTTCCAAGACGAGGTGAAAGCACCATGGAATTGGAATTTCAGTTCACTGTTTTTATGGCTGGGTGATCAAGCTCACATGCGGTCCCTCAAGATTCCGCGCATCTAAAATTGGCTGCGGCATTTCCGGATAAGGGTTTAGGTGAAAGACTTGAGGTTTGCATTGGAACAAAATGTTGAGCATTTGGAGGTGGTACTCTGGGGTCCGATAGACAGTCTTTACAAAGACGTGAACCCGAAGCAAACAACGAAGCAAGCTAAGCATGCACCATCCACCAACGAAGATGCTGCTTGTCCCAGACCCGCAAACATTCACATACACCGTCTATGGAACGAGCTGAAATTTCTGGACTTTTGGTTTAGGATGCAAGGTGTAGGGGTTAGGGCTTGAGGTGTAGGGGTCCATTGTTTGAGTTTTAGTGTTTAGGGTTTCGGTTTAGAGTTCAGGGCCGTTTAGGTGATTTCCAGCCAGGTTTCATTGGGTCCTAAACGTACTAGATGGAAGCTACTTCGCTCTTCTTTGAAGCCTTCATAAGCCAGCTGTTCCAACTAAATCGGCTATGCAATATGTTTTGGACCCCGTGCTAAACCCTAAACCTTATATTGGTCAAAACTCATCAAACATCTTTTTTTGATCTTTACATCCAATATAGATAAGAAAATGTACACGTCACGAGTGGTTAAGAGGCTATCAACAAAAGAATTTGCTAGAATATGATCATAGATTTGGTATTAAATAGCTACACTACACTAGCTATAATAGTGATGTTGAATATTCGTAATCCAATATTCGTTTATACCAATATCTCTTAACAGTATTCACACCAATAAAAACCGTATGACTTGCGCACTCTTAGCCGGAGTATTAGCAGCAGCAATAGTGTTACTTCTCATAGTTCTGTTTGAATAGTCAAAGCCACGGTAAGCAAATTGAACTGGGTGAATAAAGCGCTTCCCCACTACCAAAAAACTCAATATTCCCCGGAATCGTAATCAATAAGTTTCACATCAAGGATTACATCGAGGACCAAGGTATGCTACAAGAGATCCTTTGACAACTAGGTTAGCCATAATCAGAAAGCCTCGACGAACAAGTCCTTGAGAGATTGAACAACCCAACATGAAATAATGGTTTACATCTAGTATAAAACAAACCGAAAAGACATTTTAGAACCAAATAATATCAACAAACGTATTCATTCTCCCTCAAGCTGAAGAAAAATTGTCTTTGTCTGAAAAAGATTGTAAAAAATGGATCTGCTTGAATCTCTCTCAATAGATCTTTCGGTGCTGAAAGCTCTGAACCTCTAAACCAGAGCTGTGCAAAGCAAACTGTATGTAAGTAGCATCTTCATAGCGAGGGACGCCGCGAGACAAAAATTTAAACATGTCTAGCTTTCCTGCATGCTTTGTCTACGCAAAGTACAAGTGTCAAAGGGGAAAAGGAGGGACCCTCAATAAGGACCCCTAGGTATGTACCCTTAATATAGCCATTATATACCCATAATATAGCCCATTATAGGCTAAGGGTCCCTCTTTTTCCCCTTTGAAAGTGGGCTCGGACCATATCTCTCTTACTAAGCTCTGGCCCTCCCTAACCCCAACATGGGAGTTTCCGAAAATTAGGGGTACCTTATTCTGGGGTCCTTAATACCAGGATCCTGCTATTTGGGGTACTAAATTAGGGTCCCCTATTGTCGGAAACTCCCACATGAATTGCTTGGAGTTCTGGGTTCCAGCTGAGGTCGTACTTGGAGGGTCGGGGGACTCAGTAGCTAGATAGTTTAGAGACTTATAAGTACAATAACCCCAATTAGGATCCCTTTTAGGGTACTTATAAGTCTACTTACCTTACTAAGTCCCCCGACCCTCCAAGTAAGTACCCCACGTAAAGCTCTTTACAACCCTCTTGCGTCAAGGTTCAGGGCTTGGGATCCTCTCGGCTTCGAACATACTATAGGGGCCTTCATAATTACCTATACTATTTTGGGCTCACTTATTATACTTCTAGTATGATATACCACAAAATCCTATTCTAATTCATGAGGCCCCTATACTACTTACTATGCCAACTGACCCTTCAAGTACAGGAGGTCCTTCGAGCTATCGCTTGCCCCTCTGCCTTGTGCATCTCGGCCATTGAAGTTTTGCGATAAGTTATCATAAGCCCCGTCTTGCAGTTTTGAAACCAGCTCGAGAAGTTGCATCATAGTTCAGATTCAACCCCTACAAAACATGCGCGCCTATGGAGGTCTCAGGATGGGTGTTTGGAGTGGTTCGCGTTCTTTTTGCGGAAAAGCGCAGGGCTCGCGAACCTGCCAATTCCGAGTGAAACTTCGCAGACGGGACTGCAACCGCGGCATAAGGGAAGGGCTTAAAGGCTGCTTCCCCAGTTTAAATACATCTTCATGAAGTGTAGGCACCTGATTAAGAAACCCTGGGCTTATAACTACTAGAACAACCCTAATACAGGGCCTAGGTTTCTTAATCAGGTTCCCACATTACCCCCAGAACCGTAATTGTTCTAACATTTGGTTTAAGCCCTTATATTCACGGCTCTGTGGCCAAGACTCAGGGAACGAGTTAGAAAGGAAGCGTTGCGTCTCTCAGAGGGCACCCCTTATACCTCAGGCTCACAGGCGGTTTCGGGTCGAAAATGGCGTCTTCAGTGAACTTCAGTATTCCGGTTCCGGGTCTAAGTAAGGCACCCTAATAATTAGAAGGGGTATCGTGTACAGTATATGTCTACGAGGAACATCGGGGAATACTGTCCCCAATTATGCAGACCCTGCTAGAAATACTGGTTGCATCTGGTCCCGTCAGCGTCTACCTTGACAATGCCTCTTCATGTGGGCGCTGTATTTCTCAGAACGTAACCCCAAAGTAAGTCGCTCTTTCATCCCCGAACACTACGAATGGCGTAGAGCCTTGGAACCCCAAACCAGGTCCCACATTGACACTTGGATTGGAGTCTGAGGGATTTCAGGCTTGCTGTGCAGGCTTGTGAACTCTCGCAGCTTCAGGGAAGGTGGCAGAAGGGCTAGGAGCAGGCTCTAAACCCTCCCTAAACCCTCCTAAGTGCTACATTCGCAAAGACTCCAGGTGCTTGCTATGCTTGCTGTTCTTCCTGGTTTGGGGAGGAGGGGTAGGATTTCTCTGAGGCTTTATGGGGATTTACGGAGCTTGTCATGATATTTTGAGAGTCATTTGCGGTTTAAGGCGCAGCATATTCAGGGCTTAGTTTGTAAGATCCGGAGTTCCAGGTTCGCGGCTAAGGGAAACCGGGATGTTCAGGACTAGTGACTAGCGTCAACCGAGTAGAGCTTCGTGACTTCGACGGGCCCAGTAAGGAAACCTCCGAAACCCTTGCAACAGATGGCAACCCTCTGGGCGGTTGTCAAATTAGGGTCCCTTTTTGGGTACCCTAAATAATAGGTGCCGTATTAAAATGGAGGCCCAAAAAGGGATCATAATTTTGACAACCACCCAATCTATACCCTAAACCCTAAACCCTGAACCCTAAACCCGAAAATTAAGTCGCCCACAAAGAAAAAGCCTGGAAGTGGACATGGCTCTGGCAAGAAAGCCTGCTTGGCAGGGCTCTCGTCAGTGCTCTGGCATGCAATACCATGACCTGATGTAAGAGCCTTAATAATTAGAATTGGGTTTTGGAGTATGTAATGTTATAGCTATAACAAGGAACCCCCCAAAATAGTGTTAGTAATTATTACGGCTCCTACAGTCGTGCCATGAACCCCAAACCCTGCAACATCCCTAAACCCTGACCCCGATCGCAAGCCCTGAAAGCCGAAAGGCGAAAGCCCCAAACCCCGAAACCCCCAAACCCTAAACCCCCAAACCCTAAACCCTAAACCACATCGAGCCCTTCACTGAATTCAAGGCTTTGTACAACAAACACCAAGAGCTGGCTCTCACGTGTTCCCCGTGTCGACGCCGCCCCTGCGCGAAGCGCGGCTGTTCCAAATTTCGGTGGAGCGGGAGGATCTAAATAGTAGATCCCCTAGTTTGGGGCCCTACACTACTAACGGTATTTTATAGGAACCCCCATTAAGGGGTTTCGTGATATATAATTACAATCCAAGGGAAAAGGAGGGACCCTTAACAAGGACCCCTAGGTATATGCCCTTAATATAGCCATTATATACCCATTACATAGCCCATTAGAGGGTAGGGGTCCCCGTTAAGGGTCCCTCCTTTTCCCCTTTGATACAATAACCCCAATAGGTACAGAACTCTAGCTAAACGGCATTGTTCAAATCTTTTGGGTCAGGAGGGCATTGGAACAAAAGAGTCCTTTGTGCACGTGGGGCCTGTGGTATCTTTATGTAGATATATATATATACACACACACACATTTTTTATATAGTATACAAAACATTTGTTTGGTCGACCTGTCTATCTACTCAGATGTGTGTATTCCTTTATTTCACAACTAATGCATGTGTCCACATGCATACACTCTGCCCTTAAACCCTAAACCCTAAACCCTAAATCCCTAAACCCCTAAACCCCTAAACCCCTAAAACCCTAAAACCCTAAACCCTAGCCCCTGAGCCGTTGGGAGTTGCGAGAATGGAGTTGGAGACTCTTGGGTTCGGAAGTTTAGTGTAGGGGCCTTAATAATTAGAATCGGGTCTTGGGGCCAATTATACTATAACTATAACAAGGAACCCCCACATTAGTATTGGTAATAGGCCCCATATTAGTGGCTTTGGGCTTGCATCGGCTTCGACATGAAGGTGCCAAGGTGTCGGGTTGAAGGTTTAGGGTCTCGAGATTTAGGTGTCTAAGGTTTAGGGAGAGTGAACAAT